TCAGGGTGAGGGCTGGTGGAGCAGCTTTGACTCAGAAAGCACTGCTGGCAGAAGCCATTGTTCTTTTGTTGACCCCTCCCCCTACCCAGCCTGCAGAACAGGTGGACTCCAGGTCTGAGTTTCCATCAACCTGGCCAACACTATTTACCCCACCCTGGTGATTCTCTATGACCCCTGCCCCACCCAACTTGCTAGACAACTCAAGCCACTTCCAGTGGCTTTTACATGCAAATAGCTTATTTTGCCTCCTCCTGCAGACTTTTCTACAATCTCTGTAAGGTTCACAAACCCCAAACAAGCAGTGTCTGGCCTTGGCATGCCTCATACATCTTGCTAAGTGGCCCAAGCCCGGCACTGGTGGCACCTAGCCCTAGTTCACAGTTTAGTCTGTCCTGACACCCCTAAGCCAAGCACAAATGGCAACCATTTGCATATCACTTTGTAGCTCATACCAGGTGGCTTTAGAAGGGTACAGACAACAGCTGACCTTGCTGTTATAAGAACCCCCACCCAAAGGCCCCAGCACTGACTCACCCAGTGAGTGACATGCTTCAGACCATACCATAGCACCACCATAGCACAACCACCTTCACAAATGACACAGAGGGCAGACATAACAGGCACCAGAACCTAACTAAAACAATCCTGCTCCATGGTGACAACCCCTGCACAACAGCTCCTAGGCAGCAGTCACAGCCAGTCCTCACAGTCAATCAGCCTGAAGGTCAGTCTTTCCAACTGATGTACCAACAACAATGAAGGCTCAACTAAAACAAGAAGATACACAGCACCCACACAAGAGCCATTCATGGAGAACCCAGCTCAGGTAACCAAGCAGCCTGTGCCACTGGGCCCCACAGGACACCTACTGTGTAAGCCCACTCTCCCAAGATGGGGAGATGTAGGAGTTCTACCTGATGTATAGAAACAAACACAAGGAGACACCAAAAAGACAAGCCCTGGCTGGCATAGCTCAGTGGATTGAGCGTGGGCTGTGAACCAAAGCATTGCAGGTTCAATTCCCAGCCAGGGTACATGCCTGGGTTGCAGGCCACAGCCCCCAGCAACCGCACACTGATGTTTCTCTCTCTCTCTCTCTCTCTCTCTCTCTCTCTCTCTCTCTCCCTCCCTTCCCTCTCTCAAAAAATAAATAAATAAAATCTTTTAAAAAATTAAAAGACAAAAAATTGTTCCAAATGAAAGAACAGGACAAAACTCCAGAAAAAAGAGCTAAAGAAAATGGAGATAAGTGCTCAATAAAATGCAGAGTTCAAAACACTGTTTATGCAGATGCTCAGCAATCACAGGGGAAGAGTAGATGAATACTCAGTGAGAACTTTAACAAAGAGACAAGAAACATATAAAAGAGATAAATGCCTTTAAAAACACTAGCAGTGAAGTGAAGTGAAGAACTGTATTCTTCAGAAGTGAAGAATACCATTCAGGATTGGTATTTGCAACAGCATGGATGGACCTAGAGAGTATTACACTGAGTGAAATAAGTGAGACACAGAAACACAAAGATATGATTTTACTTATATTGGAATCTGAAAAACAAAATAAAGGAATAAACAAAATAGAAACAAACACATAGATACAAAGAACATTTTGAAGGTTGCCAGATGGGAAGGAGTTTGGGGGGTAGGTAAAAAGGGAAAGGGGTTAAGATGTACAAATTGCCAGTTATAAAAACAGTCACAGGGATGTAAAATACAGCATAAGTAATATAGTCAATAATAGTAACAACTATATAAGGTGTCAGATGGGTACTAAATTCAATGGGATTACCACTTCATAAGTTATGTTATATAAATATCTAATCACTATGTCATTAGTGATTAGTACCCAAAACTAATGTAATATTGTATATCCACTGTAATTGAATAATAAAACATTATTTAAAATAAAATTTTAAAAACTTTAAAAAGTAAATGTGACCTGATAGTGATCAATGTATGATCACTAGTGTGAAAGAAGAGTATCCATTTGACCTTGGATTGATACCTACTGTATCCTCTGGTAAGTCATGACACCAGGTCTACAGAGAACACTGTATATTTCTGGTAACTACTTTCTTCTGTAGTGAAAAATATTTACAATCACAAAAATGTAAGTCACTATTTATCTTCAACTCTTAGAATTATGGAAAATATAAAGTGTCTAAATATAAATACAGAATGTAATGTAAATATTATCACACATGGCAGTGTAAAAGTATAGTGTATCTGAAAAAAGATAGGAGATAGAAAGAAGGAAAAATAGAAGGGAGTGTAAGGATATTTATGAATTTATCTTTTGGAAGATACTGTGAAAAGTTGATGGATTTGTAACAGTCACAGAGGAGAAATAACCCATTTACTAGCAGATAAATGAATAAAAAATGTGACATGCTTACACAATGTTGTCCAGCTATCAAGAGGGGTGAAGTACAGGTACACGCTACAGCCTGGAGGAGCCTTGAAAGAATCACAAGTGAAATGAACCATTCACAAAATACCATATATTTTATGAATATGTTTACAGGAAATATCCAAAATAGGCAAATCTATAGAGGCAAAATGTATATCAGAGGTTGCATAGGGTTGAGGTAGGGATGGGGGGATGGGGAGGGACTGCTAATGGGTATGGTTTTTCCTTTCATGGTAATGAAATATCCTAAAATTGAATAGTACTGATACTTGTACAATTCTGTGAATATGCTAACAATCATTGGATTGTACACTTCAAAAATATGAATTTGTAGTATGTAAAGTATATCCCAATAAAGTTGTTGAAATGAACAAAAAGAATTGATAGAGCTAGAAAGGGATTTTAAGTCTTTCCAGTATCCAGGAATCAGTTGTTCACGAAAAAAAACAAATCTAGGAATAAATAGTCTCCATTCAACAGCCAGAGCACCATCCCCTCCACCTCTCTGACTCTCTCCTCTCCCCACCCCTCCTCCTCCCAATTTTTAATGCAATGACCTCAGGTCAGTTTCATGCTTAAAATACTCCAGTTGGGTCTGAATAAAATTTCAACTACTAATTCCTGTATACCTGGCCCCTGCATACCTCTTTTATCTCATTTTATACCCCTCTTCTTTTTTTCTTCTGTTATTTGAGCCCTCCAAGTTTGCTGCTGAATTTCAGGCCTTTGCACTTGCTATCACTCTATCTGGAGTGCTCTTCCTGCTGGTCCTCACCTTACTGACTGTTTTCATCTGTATATTAGATTAGGTGTCAGCTCCTTAGAGACTCTTCCTGACTGATCTCCTCATCCTTCCCTGGGAAGATCTTGCATTAAGTCCCTAAAGGATGAAAACCAGAGCCAAGATTGAGCCTTTCCTGGGGGTGCTCCTGGGCCCTGAGCCAGGGGAACTTGATAGCTTCAGACAGAGAAAAGACAAATATTGATGGTCTAAGAAACGTAACTCAAATTAATATCTCAATAAATCATCCAGCCACAATGGAAGCTAATCACCCTGCTTCCCCAAATAACCATTTATCTGCTACCTTCATATTGAGCTTAGAAGTACCACTTTCCTTCTGATTTCCTGGTTGCATAATTTTATAATTTTTAACAACTGTACCACTTATATTTAAAAAAATAAGTCATTGCTTATCATTTTTTAAAATATAGAAAAAGTCAAATATATGGGGAAAATTTTTTTATTGTTCCATTACCCTATCAGTATTTAGTATATTTCCACTTTAGGTTACTTTTCACTGCTATTAAGGATCTTATAGTGCAAATTCAAGAAACTTGATCTACAATAAAGTTCAAATATTTTAGCTCATGACACACAAGATCTTTCATGATAGGGCCCATTCAACCTTTCCAGCTATCCTTTATATTTTCAGCAAATATTTTTTCAGTACTTAGTATGTGCCAGATTCTCTGCTAGACATTTCAACAGAGATAAGAAGCCCAGTCCTGCCTGCTCTCAAGAAGCGGGTTATCTAATGGGGAGGCAGAAAAGTAACCATTGCAATATTGGTAAGTATTAAGATAAAGGATGTAGGTATGAGGCACTTACCCTTAACTAAGGGATATGTAAGGTCTGGTCAGAGAAAGGTGGTTGAAAGGATAACTTCTGAATGGAAGGTGCCATATGTTAAGAGGCATAGACACAGGAAAGAGCATCATTAAAGAACTCTGAAATGTATCTACCCAGAGTTTGCATGTTGGAGGATAAGACACAAGACTAAAGGCTGGTTTGGTCAGACAGCAAAAGGGTCTTGTAAGTCAGTCCAAGGATTTGGGATTTCATCACCAAAGCTATGGAGGTCCACAGAAGGGACAGAGTGATGGCAGGGACATGATCAGATTTTCATCCCAGTAAGTGCAGAGCAATAGTGTGCACAGGCGAGCATGGAAGGAAGTGAGAATGAGAGCAAAGGCACCATCAGTGCTACCACTGTCCCCAGGAACTTGTGACTCCAGCTTCCTCAGATGGTCTGGCCAGCCACAGCATACTCTGTCACTCCACAAACCTTTGTGCTATCCCCTCTGCCTGGAATATCCTCCCAGTTCCTTGTTTTGGGAAACTCCTACTCACCCCTGAAGACCTGGTTCAAATGCCTGCTCTTCTGTGAAGACTGTTTTGTTCCCTTTATCCTTACAAAATCCATTGTTCCCTCATCTCTGTCCCCATAGCATTTATAAATACCTCTAATGTACTGCTTATCACTCAGTACTATAATGATTTGTCAATGTGACTTGCTTCTCCATCAACACTATGAGATCATAGAGGGCAGAAGAGTCATCTCTGACTCTCCTTTAACCGGTATACTCTCTAGCACTTACTTGTTGGTTAATAATTAAATGACTAATGGTGAATACATGAATAAATGAATCGTGTTGCCCCTCCATTTAGAACCCCATCATATCTTGAGATGAATAACCCTTCCTCTGTTGACGTGAGGTATCATTTCAGATGCCAGCCTGGCTTGCAGAAGAACAGTTGGAATGTAGGGGAGAGATGGAGTGGTCTCTAGCTGAATTTCCTGTCACTCCAGGTGGTCCAGCTGGAGGAGCTTCTGGCAGTTCGGCACTCTGTATTCGTGGTGGGCAGTGCTGGTACCGGCAAGTCTCAGGTGCTGAGGTCCTTGCACAAGACCTATCAGATCATGAAACGCCGCCCCGTCTGGACTGACCTCAATCCCAAAGCAGTCACAAATGATGAGCTCTTTGGCATCATCAACCCAGCCACACGAGAATGGAAGGATGGTAAGAGAGGGCTAGTCCTAGGAGTTCCTGCTGTGCTCAGATCCCCCTGCCCAGGCTTGGATCTATCTAGTGAGGTAAACTGCAGAGGAGAGAACATGGGACTGATCTGTTTGGGATGGAAGAAGGAGGTGAAAAGGATCAAAGAAAGGAAGAAACCGATTTTGACTTGGAGGGAAACCTTCAGCTGTTCTCTCTCTTTGGAGTCTCTCAGCTGTCCCTTGAGAGAGGGCACCGAGAGAGAATCAAACAGGGCAGGTGTTCAGCTGTAGTTGAGGGTGGAGTGTGAGTCACGGAGTCACTACGCAGCCTGGCAGTGGTTTAAGCATGACTAACATGGGCAGTGCATGCTCATGACTAACATGGGCAGTGCATGCTCATTCTCAAATGAGCAGCACAGTCTAGCATTACACAGAAGGCAACCTCCCTGTGAGCACTGCCCAGGACTGATGCAGGAGCTGCTGCAGAAGTCTGCCTGGGCCAGGGCCAGTGATGTTCCCAGCCACTCATCCTGGAAAGGCCCTACAAATATGGTCCCTTCAACAGCCATTCTGAGAGTCCCAAACTCATGTTCACTTGGTGCTGACCTCAGCATCATCTTCAAAGAAGTAAAAATCATAGGTATAGCCCTAGCTGGTGTGGCTCACTTGGTTGGAGTGTGGTTCCATTAACCAAAAGGTTGTGAGTTCAATTCCAGGTCAGGGCACAGGCCTAGGTTGCAGATTTGGTGCCCCACTGGGGTACATATGAAAAGCAACTGATAGATGTTTCTCTCCCACATCAATGTTTCTCTCCAACTCTTTCCCTCTTCTCCTCTCTCTAAAATCAATAATCATGTCCACTGGTGAGAATTAAAAAAAAAAAACAAAAACTACAGGTAAACGTTGGAAAGGGTCTCCTGTCACTGGGAGAGAGCAGGAAAAAAATGGAGAAAACTCCCTATGAGCCAGTAGGGACCTGGCCTCTTTCTAAAACTGATGTAGCTCTGGGAAAGAGGAAATCTCACCTCCCTCCATATTAGCTACATCAGGGTCAAACTGTCTGGATTCCTCTAATTTAGGACCTTCAATTAGAAGTCAAAAATGAGGTGATTTAATGAGCTGCCCCTCTAATTGGTATTTCACTGACTATTAATGAATTTAGCTTCTTTTCCTTCTTATTGGTGAGACCAATTAGCTCTTTTATGATTTTATTTTTCCCTCGTTATTTCTTTGTAAGAGTTCTTTATGCATCTGTTCTTTATGCATTGCTATTGGTTGTTCCCTGTCTACCATTTGTTTATAAACACCTCGTGGCACGTTTGCCACATGCTTTTTATTTTTATTTATTTTTAGGTTCAGGTACAGACACTTAATTTCTCACAGTTCTGGAAGCCACACCCAGAACTGATGTGTATGCAGGGCTGCACTCCCACTGAAGGCTCTAGAAGAACCCTTCCTAGTTCCTGGTGGTTGCCGGCAGTACTTGACATTCTTCAGCTTATCAATGCCTCGCTCCCATGTCTGCCTCCATGTGTACATGGCCTTTCCCCCTGGACCATGCACCTTTTTAAAAAGGAAATTATGTCTTTCTAGTTCTTTTAGCACCTGGGATTCCTGTTTAGTTCACAACTCTTTCTAACTTTCACCTGTAGATACAGCATCATAAACTTATTCCAAAAGATTTTTTTGCATTAATGGTTATCATCCCTCTGGAATTGACTTTGGGGCTTAGTATGAGGTAAGGTAGAGAAAGGTAGAGAATCAACTGTTATGTCCTCCCAGTTGGATAATGGAATGCACAGCACTGTTTATTAAGGAACCTATCCTTTCCCTCTCAATGTAAACCCCAGCTGTCGTGTGTACTGAGGTCTGATTCTCAGGTTTTGTTCTGTTCCACTCACCTATTTATCTAATCTTGTACTAATGTAATTCTATTTTGCTTACAATTATTTTATAACATTTCAATATCTATTGAGGTAAACTCCTCAATGTATTTTTGTACTTTGTTTGGCTAGTTTCAGGGATTTCTTATTCTATATTAAATCTGAGCTTACATAAAATAATTCAAATTTAAATGGTTTTGGAATTTTAATTGAAGTTTTATTAAATATATATATTAAATATGGAAAAATTGAGAAAGAAGACTTGTAATAATCACAATCTGTGTTTATTACATAAGAGAACTTTCAAATCTTATATTTTTCAGAAAAACTCAATAAAAATAAAGTATGTTATATCAATACACTTTTAAATTTTTAAGTTTTTTTAGAAAAACTCATTAAAAATAAAGTATGTTATATCAATGAACTTTTTTAAAAAATTAGATCCAGTAAATGAAAAAATTAGTATAAACATAGAAGAATTGTTAAATGCATCATCAAACTCAATATAACACGTAATTATAAAATTTTCTATCTTATAGATAGAAAATATTCCTTTCTTGGTTGGTTCATAGAGCATTTTTAAAAATTAAAAATTTAGTTGGCCACAGAAGAAGCCATAATGAATTCAAAAGTATCAACTTTCAAGCTACATTCTCTGATAATAATGCATTAGAACTGGGGAAAAATAGCATGAGAGTTATCACAAATAATTTTACTATTTTCAAATTAACAAATGCTCACTTAACCCCTGGACTAAATCACAATCCTTCTAGGAAGCACTAAAGAGAAGAACATGTCATAGGAGCCTCTGGGACACACCTGAGGTCCGTGAGGTAAACATCTAAGCGTTGTTATCACAGAAGGTGGGCTGGAAATGTATTGGTATCTATGCCACAAAATTGTTCCAAGAATGATAAACTAGACCTGAAGAAAACTGGGGACAAAAAAACTAACAAAGATAAAAGCTAAAAATTAGTAGGAAGGAACCAAAACAATAAATCATAGTAAGGATAAATAATTACAAATATTTGTTCTTTGTAAAGACAAATAAGTCAATTGTAAGCATGATTAATGGGGAAGAAAGAGTAAAATTATTAAGATTAGGAATTACATAGAAAGAAGATATAATAGCAGATATAGAAAAGATTAAAATAGAAGGGAACATTTAATTAAATGACACCTTTGAAAAACTTAAAGGAAAAGATTATCTCCTAACAAAATATAAATTAACAAAATTCACTTATTAAGAAGTAGAAATAAGTAAACTGATAAAAAGGAAATTTAAAAATAGCAGAACAAAAATTCTAAATCATTTTTTAAATCAGATTTCAATTTATTCTATGGAGTCAGAAAATTTTGATATCAACCTTTCTGTAGAACCAAAAACAATAGCCCAATTTCACTTATTAATGCATAAATTCTTAATAAAATGTCAGTAAATAAAATCCAGCAATATCTAAAAACAATAATACATTTGACCAAGTAGAATCTACTCCAGGAATGTGAGGATAGATCAGTTATTTTTTAAGTATTAATATAAAGAATTGACAAATTAAAAGATAAAATTATTGGATTAATCAATAGATGCTAAAAATTTAGTAGCTATTCCTAATTTTTTAAATTCTAAGTAAAATAAGAATAAAAGGAAATATCTTAAATATGAATAATACTCTTTACCTAAAGTCAAAAGGAAAAAAAGCATTCTTAATGATGAGAAACTAAAGCCATTTCTATTAAAATTAAGAATAAGTCAGGGAGACCTAATATCAAGATTATTATTTAGCATTGCTTGGTGGAATTCTGGAAAATATAGCAGACAAGAAAATGAAATGCCTGGTATAAATTGGTGGAAAGGAGAAAAATTATTTTTTTTTGGTTATATAACTTTGTACCTAAAAACTCAAGAGGCATTATTAGAAAATCACTAGAATTAATAAGAAAATGTATTAAATGTAACTAATTATAAAATAAATACATGAAATTTGGTAACTTTTCTTTATACTAACAGTAGCCAGTTAAAAATGGAAATACAGAAAAAAAATCTCATGCGTAGTAGCAGTAACAACTCTATGCTTAGGAGTAGATTTGGCCAAAGAGAGATATTGAAAACACTATAAAAATTTATGAAGGAACATAAAACAATATATGAATAAATGAAAAGACATATTATATTATTCATTGGGAAAGCTTAGTTTCATAAAAATCAGTTCTATCCACAAAGATATAAATCTCACATAATGTTGATTAGAATCATGCTGGGCCTTCTCTCACAACCTGTATTTGAAAGATTTTTCTGGGCTGCAATTACAAAGCATGGAAACATACCTAAAAAGGTTTTATGTAATTCCGTCATGTTACAGAGTTGCCTGTTGAAATGACTGACCAGGTCCCTTATCCTTTAAAGAACCAGTTCCTTCAGATTTTGTTGTTTTGCTCTTGTTGTTTTTCTTAGGAAAAGTCACCCTGGAGCACAGAGTAGCACCTTGGCCACTGTCAAAAGTTTGGTAGATTAGAATGCAAAACCAGTTCTGACCTGTGTTGTTATTTACACCTCCTCTGAATGTTATAGCCAATAGGGACAGGCTGTGTCAAGAGAAAACAAAAGATTTACGGTGAAATGGAAAATAAGATACCTGTTGTTCCTTCCAGGACTATTCTCTTCTATCATGCGGGAACTTGCCAACATCACCCATGATGGACCCAAGTGGATTTTACTGGATGGTGACATAGATCCAATGTGGATCGAGTCTCTGAACACTGTCATGGATGACAACAAGGTAACAAAAGGAAGAAAGGGAATCCCCAGGTCATCCCTAATCATCTATGAACCCAGTCCCCAGGCACATTTGGAAGTCTTGATTCCACACAAGGGCTGATCCTGAGTAAGGACTTATTACTGCCATTTTTATTTTTTAAATTTCTCCAGGTTTATTGAGATATAATTGACACATAATGTTGTATAAGTTTAAGGTGTACAACATGGTGATTTGAAATACCCATATACTGCAAAATAATCACCATAATAAGGTTAGAAAACACCTTCATTACCTCACATGATTACCTGTGTGTGTATGTGTGGTGAGAGCTTTTAAGATCTATTCTCTTAGCAACTTCCAAGTATACAATACAATATTGTTAATAGTCACCATGCTATACATTACATCCTCAGGATTATTCATTTTATAACTAAGAGTTTGCACCCTTCAACCCCGACAGCCATTTCCTCTACCCACCCTACCCTACCCATCCCCACAAGCACCAATCTACTCTCTTTCTATCAGTTTCTTTTTAATTCCACATATAAATGAAGTCATACGGCACTTGTATTTCTGTCTGACTTATTCCACTTAACAAAATGCTCCCCAAGTCCATCCATGTTGCCACAAATGGTAGAGTTTCCTTCTTTTTATGGCTGAATACTAGTTCACTTTATATATATGCAGGCCATATCTTCTTACCATGTACCCATCAATGTATACTTGGATCATTGCCATGACTTGGCTGTTGTAACTAATGACCCATGTGGACGTGGAAGTGCAGATACCTCTGCAAGACCCTGATCTCATTTATTCTGTGTCTTTAAAAGACATCTAAGAATGGATTCATCCAAATGAGCAACTTTCACTTACTTAAACGTCACACCATTGCTCCCACCATTTTCAACATGGCTATCATTTCCTTCAGGGTCTTCTGCACATAGATTGTTAGAGCTTGAAGGAGTCTTAACTCATCTATTAAATCTTTTTTACTTTTCTCCTTTTTTATAAATAATGTACCTGAGGATCAGAAACAGCCTGTCAAACACCCTCAGTGGTAGCAAATCTTGATTCACAGAGAATATATTTTATTTTTGTAAACAATGAGAAATAATAAAAAAAAAGCCAATGGGGATGCTCATACATTAATTAATTAATTAATTTGTAATAGGGAATCCAAATTTACATGAAATTTTGTTCTTAAAAAGAACAAGACCAACTGAATGCCAATAAAGTGGCTGTTAACCTGGTAGCTGCTTCTAAACTTGTTCAGAAAGCACATCCAGATTATAAGTGTTATGATGGCTTCAATATTTACAGATTCATAAGAATAAATGTATATTCTCCAGAGATACTGCTTTAAAAACAACAGTAGTAATGTGAAGCCTAAGCTTTGTCCTTTAATAATATTATTCTAATATGGTCTAGTTCATTTGAATCATTGACATCAATTTAAACTCTTTAGATAACTGTTTTCCTGATTCAATACACAGACACACCCACAGGGATGGGTGTAGAGGAGGTACAGGAGGAGAGAAAGAGTATTGTTGCAGAAAACAGTTATACACTTGATTCTTGAACAACACAGGTTCAAACTTCACTGGTCTACCTATATGTAGATTTTTCAGTTGACCTGCTCAGTTCAAACCCTCATTATTTAAGGGTTTACTGGTGGTTAGGAATCTGCATATATGGAATGCTGGCTTAAGTTATATGCAGATTTTCAGCACCCCTAATCCCTGTGTTGTTCAACAGTCAACTATAATCACAAAGAAGAAAATAATCATTCCTAGTCCCCACTAGGAGAAGTCAGACAAATATCCGGCACATGGCTATGCATCCTCCTCCCCACCTGACATGTCCCTTCCTGCTGACTATAGGTGTTGACCTTGGCAAACAATGAGAGGATCCCTCTGAATCCCACAATGAGGCTCCTCTTTGAGATCAGCCACCTACGCACAGCCACACCAGCCACCGTCTCTAGAGCAGGTATGGCTTAAAAAAGTAAAAACAACAAACAAACAAAACCCTGAAAGTAGGTGCCTCTGGTGTTACAGATGATATTGCTGGCCCTGTGGGAGGCTCCAAACAGTAGCTGGACATCTGTCATCCAAAACTGTGGCCTAATTTGCAGTCTTAGTCCACATCCACATGGATGACAAGTGCCCCAAGGCCAGACCTATGTGACTTTCTTCATTCAGAAATGTCATGGGAACAAGAAGGAAAATGACCCCTGAGCTGGATACTGTCCTCTGACATAAACACCTCAAATTAGGCAACTTTTAGCTTCCATGTTGATGGAGATCCCCAAGCACTGCCATTCTCACTACATCCTGGTGGACAAGCAACTTCTACCTTAACCAAATTTTCAGCAGAGATCAGAGGATAAAGAGAGCTTGTTTGATCTAGCATAACATCAGATTCTCTTTCAAGGGTCTGTGCTGATGTGAGAAAACACAAGCCCAGAAAATTCTCTCTCAGACTCTGCATTTGTTCCTTAGGGCTGCCTTAACAAATTAACATAAACCCAGTGGCTTTATTTTCTCACATCTTAGAAAGTCAGACACTTGAAATCAAAGTGCCAGCCTTCTAGGAGAGAACCCTCCTTGCATCCCCCAACCTAGAAGTTCCTTGGGTTACGGCCCCATGACTCCAACCTCCACCTCCATCTGCACAAGGCCTTCTCTTCTGTGTCCTTCCTCTTCCATCTCTTGTAAGAACACTTGTAAGTGTCCCACTCAGGTAATCCAGGGTAATCTCATCTCAAGGTCCTTAACTTAGTTACATCTGCAAAGGCCTTTTTTCCAAATAAAGTCACAGGTTCTAGGGATTAGAGTGTGGACACATCCTCTTGGGCCACAATTCAACCATTGTACATGTCTACTCCATGACACCTATTTCCATCAGTCCCAGTCCTCTTGTCTCCTGCTCCTAGACTTGGCCTTAGGGTCCTTCACAGCACTGCTTTCCCTTAGCTGATGTCAACCCATCAGGGTTTGTCCCAAGAGCAAACGGATTTGACCTCTCAGACGTTGGCCAGATCTCTGTTATTTTTAAGTCCAGTCTTCTGTATATTATTTAAGCAGATAAAATAAGTCTCTGGGGTGGAGAATATACTGACACTTATGGAAAATTCATTGAACAATATTCCCTGTGCTCCCAGGGATCCTGTACATCAATCCTGCAGACCTGGGATGGAACCCTCCTGTTAGCAGCTGGATTGACAGGAGGGAAATCCAGACAGAGAGAGCCAACCTCGCCATTCTGTTTGACAAGTACCTTCCAGCCTGCTTAGACACACTCCGAATCAGGTAGGCCAAGGGATGCAGAAGGTAGCAAGTTAAAGCATCAATAAACAGGCTGTTGGCTCCCACCTTATGTCCCACTGATATTCTTTCTGTCCTATCCCTGAAGTCAGATGTCCCTAGGGCATCCCCCTCCCAGCATCATAGATGGCAAAGGGAAATACACATTAGATTGACCATGGATGCCTATCGTCTGTTCTGGCAGGAAGAGAGATGAGTGAGGAGGAGGAAGATTTAAAGTGCCGTTTGTGAGCACCACATGGGTATATTCGAAGGAGGCTGTAAGTTGCAATATCAGATAACAATTCTGAGATCCTTCAGTTTTCAGGTCACACAGTCAGCCCTCCTTTAGGCCAGATCAGGCTAGAGGTGAAGATGACACCCGTCAGTGACATATGAGTCTCACTTCCTACTTCTGGCTGTGTATGTCATGGCCCTGATAATGCAGAATCAGGTATAGTTCATCATTTGGTCAGTCCTGCCCCTCTGGACGCTGAGTTCACTTTTCCCCTTATGGGTTTGCAAAAATAAAAGAGACAAGCCCTGCCCACTTATCACCTAAATAAGAGATTAATTACTTTTAATCAGAAGGATACTTATTATTGCAAGAATATTAGGTGTCCATAGAGAGAGGTCCCAATGTTTGGAACCTGTTTTTGTCAAACACTCTCTTTTCTTGCCAGTTGATGCATCATCCTATGAGTCAGGCACCCAACCTTATAGTTCAGCCAACCTGAACCATCAGGGGCTGGTGCTGTGAAGGCGATGTGACTCAGAGATCCATAGCTCCTGATTACTGAACAACTTAGGGTCAGGGTTATTTTTCCCAGAAATTAAGTCCATCATTCAAAGTGAGCCTTGGCTCCTTATTAATTGGTCTATCAAACACAGAATGGAGAGTTGTTTACCAGAGTGGAGGAAGAATGTTACGGTGCTGGGGCCTGAGGCACACTCATTTCATGTACCCTGCCCCTCACCCTATCAAAATCTACCATGGTGACTATCAGTTTTATATAACTAAAGACTGTGTTGAAATTGAGTAGTTTACATAGTGTTATATTTTTAGGTGTTTAAACATTTCTTTTTTTTATTGTTTGTCTTTTTTATTTTAACAATCCTAGTGGATATAAAGCTGTACCTTGTGGTTTTGATTTACATTTCCATGATAACTAATGATGCTGAGCATTCCTTGAAGGTGTATCTTCCTTTGTTTGACTTGCCTTTTAATGGTTGATTTGTAAGATTTCTTTTTTTAAATACATTTTATTGATTATGCTATTGCAGTTGTTCCATTTTCCCCCTTCACTCCCCTCTACCCTGTATACCCCCTCCCATCCACATTGCCCCCCTTTAGTTCATGTCCATGTGTCACACTTATAACTTCTTTAGCTTCTACATTTTCCATACTATTCTTGCCCTCCTCCTGTCTATTTTCTACCTACCACCTATGCTTATTCTCTGTACCTTTTCCCCCTCTCCTCCTCCCACTCCCCTGTTGCCAACCCTCCATGTGATCTCCATTTCTGTGTTTCTGTTCCTGTTCTAGTTGTTTGCTTAGTTTGCTTTTGTTTTAGGTGTGGTTGTTAATAGTTGTGAGTTTGCTGTCATTTTACTGTACATGTTTTTTATCTTCTTTTTCTTAGATAAGTCCCTTTAACATTTCATATAATAAGGACTTGGTGATGATGAACTCCCTTAACTTGACCTTATCTGGGAAGTATTTTATCTGCCCTTCCATTCTAAATGAAAGCTTTGCTGGATAGAGCAATCTTGGATGTAGGTCCTTGCCTTTCATGACTTGGAATACTTCTTTCCAGACCCTTCTTGCCTGCAACGTCTCTTTTGAGAAATCAGCTGACAGTCTGATGGGAACTTCTTTGTAGGTAACTATCTCCTTTTTTCATGCTGCTTCTAGGATCCTCTCCTTCATTTTAATCTTGGCTAACATAATTATGATGTGCCTTGGTGTGTTCCTCCTTGGGTCCAACTTCTTTGGGACTGTCTGAGCTTCCTGGACTTCCTGGAAGTCTATTTCCTTTGCCAGATTGGGGAAATTCTCCTTTATTATTTGTTCAAATTAGTTTTCCACTTGTTGCTCTTCCTCTTCTCCTTCTGGTACCTCTGTAATTCGGATGTTGGAAAGTTTAAAGATGTCCTGGAGGTTCCTAAACCTCTCCTCACATTTTTGAATTCTTGTTTCTTCCTTCTTTTCTGTTTGGTTGTTTCTTTCTTCCTTCTGTTCCATTCCATTGATTTGAGTCCCAGTTTCCTTCCCATCACTATTGGTTCCCTGTGCATTTTGCTTTATTTCACTTAGCATAGCCTTCATGTTTTCATCTAATTTGCAACCAAATTCAACCAATTCTGTGAGCATCCTGATCACCAGTGCTTTGAACTGTGCATCTGATAGGTTGGATATCCCTTTGTCGCTCAGTTGTATTTTTTCTGGAGCTTTGATCTGTTCTTTCATTTGGGCCATTTTTTTTTGTCTTGACGTTCCTGTTACATAGTGATGGGCAGAGCCTCAGGTGTTCACCAGGACAGGGTAACCCACAACACTGTGTTGTGACACTGTTTGTGGGGGAGGGATATGAGAGGGAACAATGGTACTTGTTCTGCTTTCTCCTGGATTTGAGTCCCTTCCACTGCTTCCCCCAAGCAAAAAGGCCCTTCTGGTGCTGATTTCTGTGTGGGTGGGCTTGTGTATGTTCTAGGGCCCTGTGGGTCTCTCCAACGAATTCTCCTGTGAGGCTTCTGGTGCTGGGAGTTTTTCCCACCACCCCAACCCTCACAGGTATTTTCAATTGGTATTTTGAGGCTTTATTTCCCTGAGCTGGAGCCCTGGGTTGCACTGTCTGTCTCACTTCCCAGTTTTGCCTGGTTTATCTGCATGTGAATGTGGGACCACCCAGTCCTCCAACTGCCTTGTGCGCTGTGCCCCTCCACAATCCACCACCTCACTGGGTTTTCCCATTGCCACCCTGCACCTGGGGTCCACCAGCCACTGCTTCTTTTGCTGCAACCCTTCTCTGCCCAGCAGCCCAACTCTGCCCTTCCTACCATTCTGGATGAATATGTCTGTTTTAACTTCTTGGTTGTTGGACTTCCATACAGTTCAATTTTCTGTCAGTACTGGTTATTTTTTTGTTTCTAAATTTTTGTTGTCCTTATTTTGGTTGTGCAAGTAGGCACAGTGTGTCTACCTATGCCTCCATCTTAGCTGGAAGTCCCTAAACATTTCTTAATTTTGATTTTATAACTTTTATATTTTGGCATCAATAATTATTTTTCCAAACTTCAACATTTTCATAAACCTTTGAAAAGCCTTTACCCCCCTTGTGGCCTGTGGGCTCTATGGCCTCGGGATCCTAATGAGATAAAGCAGCCTTGGCAGCAGGCAGTGTCTGGAAGGACAATAATGGTGAGTGTCACAAATGGGCAGGGGCCACAAGGAGTTAAAATAGCACAGTAGAGAAAATATTACACCCCTATTCCTTACCTCTTGCTGAGACTATTGTCCAATGTATCCTCTGACTAAATATTAGGCTGTTTCCCATTCTGGGTGTTCAGAAGAAGAGAAGCCAAACTCTTGTCTATCTGTATGTGAGTGTGTGAGTATACACTTGTGTGCTCCTCAGCATGCACAAGCCTCTGAAACAGGCTTTGAAGGCTCTATATTATGTCTATGCAGAGACAACTCTTTTCTAATCTCTGAACCCTATGGTTACCAAGAAACATGCATAGCTGTCACTTACAGTGCCTGCTCTGTGTGTTATTTCATTTAATTCTCACAACGTTCCTAAGGGGACTAACCATCCTATAGATATGAGGCCTGAGGTGCCATGATGGTCCCCCAGTGTCACAACTAGTCAGTAACCGGCACTTAATTCAAAGTCTTCTGTTTTATTCATCACAATATTGTAAGGCCAGTTTTAGGTGGCCCTGGGACTAGAAGCTGTGTGATGTCAACACATTGTAGTTTTTCTGTCGAATAAACCATCCTCACAATGGGTCATTAGAAAGTGTCAACAAGGTTGGCACCAATTCAATGCCAAGAGGAATCCCCAATTTGAGGTGCAGTGAAGAAGGAAACTTTATTCAATGCAAACAGCTCAACTGTGAAACAACACAACTGTGGAAACAGCAGAGCCATGAGGCCCCTCTCTGGCTGGCATCCCAACTCTGCTCCTTGCCAGTCTGCTTTGCCTTGCCCTGGTCTGCCCTGGTCTGCACTGGTCTGCTCTGGCTTGTGCTGGTTCACTCCCTCTGGTGAGACATCCTTGGTGTTTCAGCTCAGCTGGAGAAAAATGAGCTCTCAGAGCCAGAGGGGAGTTGACGTACAGATAGAAGTCAGATCCTCAGGTCCCTGATTGGTTTGTCCTCATGCAAATGAGGACTCCAAATCCTTACAGTTTGGTTGATCCAAAAGATGCTGTCCTGATTGGCCAAAATGGGGCCATTCTAACTGGCTGGTGAAAAAGCTGGACGAAATCTAGCTGTGTAGCTCTGATTGGATGAGGAAAGCCTCAGTCCTATTGGTTGAAATAGGATTCCAGGAAACCCTTATAAGGGCTAGTTCAGCAGGCAGGACTCAATGAAGACAGGTAGTTCAGTGAAGGCGTCTCCTTGAGGTACGGTTTGCATGAGAGGCCGCTGTGTAGAAATGGCTTCTAGGCTCTGTTTTAAAAATTTGAGGCCAGTTAGCCACAAGGAGCCCTCCTTGGTAAGTATCTTCTTTCTCAGGATCCACAAAAACAACTTTGTTTCCCACTGTTCCTTCAAAACCATTTTGTGTGGCTGGTGCTCCTCCTGCTCCTAGAGGAGATCTAGGCGACTTCTGGTCACAGTTCAGTAACAAAGGCATCTGATCCCTTCTAGTCACACAGTCAGTCTCTCTCTCTCTCTCTCTCTCTCTGTCATATGCGCACACACATGTGCACACACACGCACGCACACTAATTTTCTTTTTAAATTCTACTTAAAACAAAAGCTTATCCCAGGCCCCTACAGTTCAGGCCACTTCCAGTGCTCCACCTGCAATGGGAAAGGGAACTGTCCTGGATTCTTCTTACTCTAACAGTTTCTCTCCCCAGCTGTAGCTTCTGACCCCTCAGGATGGAAGAGGGACACAGAGAAGAGAGTAAGGATCAAGAAAGGTCTCATTGAGTGAAGCCACTATTGGGGCCTTAGTTCCCCTAACTGTGGCAGGTTTGGGAACCTGACTCCTTCTCTTTAGAAGCTTTTGTGAGTTCCTTGGGCCCTTTCTCATCACTGGGGAGCTCTTTTTCCTTAACGCTAGTGCCTCTTCATCATCCCGTCATGCCAACTCCCCCGGGTTGTCCCCTTAGCCAGCATCTAACACAACCCCACATGCTGTAGCCCACACTCAGATTGCAGGCAGTAGTCACCCCTCCTTTGCCTTGACAAAATGGTACACAGGCTGCCCCAGTAAGCAACCTCTCTACACCCAACAGCACTGAGCAAGCCTCCTCACAGTTTTCCAGGCTTGGGTCCTTTGCCACCTCAGAGTAGTCCTGTCAAAGCCTCAGTCTCCAGCTCCCACTTTGGGCAAGCCCTGCCTTCCCTGTGGGAGAGGGGGCGCTCGTTGCATACCAAAAGCTCCCTTCAAAAGTCTACATGCTAATTTCTAGCCCTCTGGTGTCTCCCACTCTGATTATCACTACCCTTGAGAAGATGAGAGGCAGGGCTGCAAATGGGTTGTCTAGAATCTCAGTTTGAAACATGAGAGTAGTTGGCCCTGTATTGTTTTGGTGCCTCACCCAAAACAGAGCCTGAGATGGCTCCATTCTGACATTCTATTAAAAATATGTGTCAAAGAAATGAAGGAAAGCCTATCAAGTACTCACTTCTCTCGTTACTCCTGAAAGTAATACCCAGACTGGCCATTTTCAACCCTTTTCATCTCACAGCACACATAAACTACTAAAATTGTGCAACACACCAAAAATATATATTTTTTGCTGATTTGACCAAAATATAGGTATAATTTTGATTTATTCACACCAGACAGCTATTGTTGTATTGCTGTTGTCATTGTTTTACTTGACAATCTAACGAGAAAGAGGTCAGTGCCCCCTGACTAAATAGCCAGGTATTACATGTTTTAAAAATTCTTGTTGCACACTAGCTAAAAGTTACTGGCCTAGACTATTAGACCACTTTGTAGCATTGTTGTAAAGGTTGCAACTAGATAAAAAACCAGCACAAACACAAAACACTGAAGAGAACGGAAGGCTGTGAAACTCTGAGACCCAGGAAATGGCTTCTTAGGTGTCAGTTGATGGCACTGGTCATCTTATCACAGTGAACCCTGTGTCTGGGTGGTCCTGGGCAGGGCCAGGTGGGTGGGCACGTGGGAGGAGTCGAGGGTGTGGGTACGTGGTGCACTCTGTGTGAACTCAAGGTGGGATTAGTGTCGGTGTGTGCATGTGTGTGCACGTATGTGCTCCTGCTCCCTTGGGCATAGATGTGCCTTTGTGCAGCTCTTGATAGCTGCTTTTCATTCAAGACCTCTGAAGCCAAGATTAAAAGTATAAAGCCAGGCCAGGACAAAGTCACAGAGGTATGTTTTTAGAAGAGACACTCTAACCAGTCAATCATAATTGTATAAAATAGCCCAGGACCCTGGCCCACTCTCCCCGGCAGCTAAGACGTGGGCCCCAGAGAAAATGTTTCCAATGTGTGTAACTGATAGAACTCCTCTGAGCTGAAGATGTGGAACTTCAGAGTTACACCCACCTTGACTTGGCTGCTTTGAGAATTGGAGAAACTGTGAAAGGGGGGAAGCCACAAGGGAAGAGGGGAGGGGAGAATATTGCAGAAATGGAAGCTTCCCAGGAGCGGTCTGGGTCCTTACATCTTTCCAAAGGGCACTGACCCCTAACAGCTGATGACAATAAAGGTTTAAGTAGCATTATGGTCCTCTGGATTTTCCAAAAAGTTGACAGATCATGAGTGCATCAAACCCAGATGAGGTCCCCAGCTATCCAGCAGTGCCTCTAGGATGGAAACCCCAGTGTTTTATTACATATCTGGTGTCTCTCTGTAGATTTAAGAGGATAATTCCAGTCCCAGAGCAGAGCATGGTTCAGACACTGTGCTACCTTCTTGAGTGCCTCCTGACCAAGGAGAACATCCCTGCAGACTGCCCCAAGGAAACCTATGAGCTTTATTTTGTGTTTGCTGCCATCTGGGCTTTTGGCGGAGCAATGATCCAAGATCAGGTAAGAGGATATGTTGAGGTTAACATTCAACATTAAAGTCCATAGTGGCAAAAACTGTTCTTCTAGCAAAGAAGTGAGAGGACAGCTAAATGCCAGAATTAACATGAAAGCCTCAAACTGTAGATATCTACCCATTGCTCTGCTAAAGACATCAGTCCCCACAGAAGGGCCCTGTGATGTGAGACATGAGATTGGAATGCATTTGGAGCTGTTGCTTTTTGAGTTATTGCCATGTTCCCAATTGCATGGAGAGCAGCAATGTTTGAGTTTCAGCAACTGCAGGTATAAGTACAGTCCTTTTCACAGTGTGTTTTATAGGCAAAATGATATTGTGCTGTAGAAGCTCCAGTAGGAAGGATCTCTATAGTCTTCTAAATATCATCCAGAACAAGCCTGCACCAGTCTTCTTTACCAGGCCAGCTTAACCACTCTGCCCCCATACCCTGAAAGGCAGAGCTGTTCCTAGAAGGCTGGACTGAACCAGGGTGGCATCTAGCACACAGTATTGGCCACCATAGCTTCATGCTCTTTATTGGAAGGAATGTTGGCTTGGAGTATCTTGGCATCATAGTCCCTAAAACTTCCTGCATTCCTAGCCTTGCTCTTTACTCAGTTTCCTCCAAATAAAAGGTAGTTTATCTAGAAACAACATGTTCAAAATTATGCATATCAGTCTTTTACAACTGACTTTAGCTGTCAGGAATGTCACTGGAGGTTAAGAACACAGGCTCTAAATTTGAACTGGAACTCCGCCAGTTATTATCCAGGGGACACTGGCAAGTAACTCACCTCTCCCTACCTTATTCTGCCCATGTGTGCAAAGGAGATGAGTGTGGCAATAGTGAGGATGGTTGTGAGAATTAAGTATTAATTGCTAACATAAATATAGGCAAAGCACTTAGAATGGAGTTGGCCTGCTGGCCAACTTATTATTAATGTGCTTATTATTAATATTCTCCTAAATACTCAGGTTTTGAATATTTAGAAACTGAATATAACTATTCAGTTTCATTTTAAGTATCTAGTGCCTCTCTCACAACAGGGCATTAAACCAAGCTACGGATGCTGTAGAGTTATGATTTACTCTTTCTGATCTGGGTTGATTGTGGGCTCTTCTGAGGAGAGAGGTGAAAAGTCTCAACCTCCCAGGGCAGAGCCATGTTCTAAGAATGCAAAATGGAGGTGACCTAGAAGAATAAAGAATTAATTTATTTTCTGTTTTCATAGGCTCTGGTTGTAACATCCACCCCACCTCTCATTACCTCCTAACATGTTCCTTAGTACTCAAAATTCAGAAAGCAATTCTCACAAGCTGTGGACACTGTGCTTTTCTCCCTCTTCCTGTCCACAGCTCGATGCAGATGGGAAAGGGGAGATCTCCAAAGGTGGGAGGATGCCTAGACTGGGAGTTTAATGGGGAGAATTTTATCCTGTCTGATCCACAGCCCTTGGAGCTTTGACATCTTGACATTTCCCCTTTGTGGCAAGGATGCAGTAAGCCCAGCAGGACAGATGAGACCTCGCTGGAATGCAGAAACCCAGAATGCACAGGTTGCTGCTTTCCATCAAATGCTGTACCTGTCCTGTGGCTGCTGAACTATCAGGCAGCAACTGCTACTGGGCTTCTCTCCCACGCTGGTGCAGAAAGCAGTGGGACATCAAGAGAAAGATACCAGTCAATTTTTTCTTTCTCTGTATGGAAAAACTTAAATCCACTCAGCTCTTTAAAAGCCCAGGAGAAAGCCTCCCTCCAGGCACTCAGGCTCCGGGGCTCTGGGAGCCCCAGGCAGCCCTGCTGGCACACGGAGAGAGGATGAGGGGGAAAGCTTTTAGCAGCAGGGAACACCCAAACCCCTACCCTTGCATCCACGCCCAACAACAAAAACCGTGCTCCAAATGGAAAAGTAAGAAGTTGGCCAAGATATTGACATCACAAACACCAATGGGGATTACATTTAAAAAGCAAAGCAGAAACACAAAAGACAGCCCATACAGAGTAGAAAGCCCAATAATAATAATGGGGGGCAGGAGGGAGTGCTGACTAAATACAGAAGTTGCAGGAAATGATCTCTCAGAAGCAACAATCTCCATCTCCCCAAGAATACTGGATTCAGAGACTAAAATCCTGTATTGAACTCCTGCTTCTGCTATATGCTTCTAGAACCTTTGTATAACCTTTTGAGCTTTTGTCTTTTCAGGTATAAAATAGGAATGATTTTCACCAGCCAGGATAAGCTAGAACATTTTGAAGTTTAAGTGAGGTGATGTTTTGTTCAAAACTTTGCTCCATGATGACAGTACAGCCTCGGTGTCCTCAAGTCCAAAGGGCAGGAAGGGGACCCGAGAATTTTCAAAATTGGAAGGAGATGGGGATTTTGGAAGGGGCCTCTTCACTGAAGCCATTGCTGAAAAGACACCCACTTGTTAAACAGAGCAAAGGCTGTCGGATAATTCAGCAAAGGAAGCTTTGTCTTTGCAGCGTCCAATTACAGGAGAAAGGGGCCTGCCCAGGAGGCCACTTATAGCTTTCTCTCTGCTGCTCCCTGATTTTAAAATTTCAGAAGGTACCTTAGGAATTTTCTTTTCTAGAATCCTCATTCCACAGATGAGGAAACTGAAGCACAGAAAGCAGGAACTTCCCTGTGGTTATGTACCTGACTCCCCTCTGACTCAACCCCTCCGCTGCCCACCATGCTCCCAGGTGTCTAGGCCACACCATTTCATTCATTCCATCGCAGGCTGCCACCCTAGGCATGCTCAGTTTCAGAAGTCAGCCTGTCTTTGCGGGAGTTCTTGGTCACACTGGCCCATCTGTGGTCCTGTATTCTCTCCTCTGTGTTCTTGTACTTCCCTCCCTCCCCCACCACCCATGATGGCCCTGCAATGAGCCAGTGCCATGGTCAGAGGGGCATTCACACACATTCAAGGGAGGCCGTGCTAGCTGCACCTGGCCCAGGGCTGGTCCCCTGCAGACAGCATCTGTCTTTGAAGAGCTGGTCCCTCAGGCAAACCCGCATAAGCAGGAGCACTGTGTCTCCTGCCCTGACCTTCTGCCTGACACCAGGACAGCCTGTCCAGGCTTCTTAGGTTCTGAGAGCCTTGGCACCCCCCTGCTTTGTTTTGGCAGCTTGTGGACCACCGGGCAGAGTTCAGCAAATGGTGGCTGGCTGAGTTCAAGACAGTAAAGTTTCCTTCCCAGGGAACCATCTTCGACTATTACATAGACCCAGAGACCAAGAAATTTGAGCCATGGTCCAAACTCATCCCTCAGTTTGAATTTGACCCTGAGATGCCTCTGCAGGTGAGTGTGGCTGAGTGACCAAGAAAGTGCAGTTACCCCAAGGGTCTGCAGTGACTCTGGAAACAGCCCCTTCTCATTATTCAAGAGCTTTGACCTTGTTTGGAACTGGTCAGCTCCAGCTACTAGCATTTCTAGAGGAAACTGTAGGTGCACGAAGTCACAAGTTCCTCTGAAAAGACCAGATACTTAATTACCAGACCCACTGGCAACGTGGAGCAGGGCTGGGGAAGATGGCAGGGGAAGAAGGTTCTGAATATGATAGAGAGTCCCCAGGGAGGCAGACAGAGCTGATAGAGGAGGGAGGAGGTGCTCTATACTCAGAGAATGGACTGGTAGAATGGTCTTACTGTGGATGTTAGGGAAGACCCTCCTACCATGTAGCAATATCTACCATGACAGCAGAATTCCCTCTTCTGAAATGCTCCAGAACATTCTGCACTGCACCTGTTTCTCCCATAAGCCCCTGGCATGCTCATTGTGTTCCTGTTCCAGGCTTGTCTGGTACACACGAGTGAGACTATCCGAGTGTGCTACTTCATAGAGCGGCTCATGGAGCAGCAGCGACCACTCATGTTGGTGGGGACTGCGGGCACGGGCAAGTCAGTGCTGGTGGGAGCCAAGCTAGCCAGCCTCGATGCAGAGGACTACCTGGTGAAAAACGTACCATTCAACTACTACACCACTTCAGCAATGCTGCAGGGTAAGGGATTCAGAGGGTGTGGCAGGGAGCGGGGGTGCCTGAGTGGCCCTATCATCTGACACAGAGTTGGAGCAAAGTGGCAAGCACTTGCTCAGCTGGACAGTGCATTTCTTCTCACAATACCCTTCTCACCTTTTCCCTCCTTTCTCCCCCATAACACCTCTGTCCCACTTCTCCTACACACCTTAGCACAGCCTCCCCTACCCATCCTTTCTCCCCACACTCTTCCCTGACCCACTAAATTCCTCCAGGGCAGGAGTTCAGCAAAAAGCAGTTCAGCACCTTGGTGACAAAAAAAAAAAACCTTTAATAACCCTTTGAGAGATTTGCATGGGCTTCTGTCACCTGACATGCCTCTCAAGATCATTTTATTCATCCTTCACATTTTATAGATGGGGAAACTGAGGCACAGGTAAAAATACATGATCACCCAAGGTCACCACCAAGCAGCAAGGCTGGCATGGCACTTTAGTCTTCTGCCCACACTGAACCTGCTTTTCACTGGAAGGTTACACACTGGCCTTCCTAGGGACTCAGGACCCTCCAGGTCACGGCTTCAGCCTCAGAGGGTTAGTACAGGCATTTCCCCTCACTGGAGTCACTTTCTCCTTGGCCCTCACTTACAGTAGGGCCTCCTGTTTTATAGAAACATTCAACACACTAACCCTGGAAACAGCTTCCTTTCGAAGAACCACCCAGGCCAGCCTCCCCGTATGAGGAGGGAGGAAGTGGCAGGGTGAGGGACGAACCCTGCTCTTATGCTTTGCATGGTAACAGGCTCGCCCCACTCCTTGTATCCCAGCCCCACCGCTAGAATGTAAAATCCACTGAAAGTAAGGAATTCAGTGTGTGTGCTGCTTACAGATTGGTAAATTATCTTAATATAAGCCATAACATGGAAAATGAACACGGCATCATCAGGCCTTAGGCTGGCAGACTTGCAAAACAGGCTTCACTTTGACCCCCACCTGCTCATCCTGGACCATTTTTACTTATCTAGTCCTTCTGTGGCCCATGTCCAGTGTCAACCCCAGAGGCAACCCCAGTGTTGCTGGTGCTCTGCTCTCCCCAAGCCCATGCAAGATACCAGCTCACTTCCTACCTTCTTTCTGCACTGTTTGCCACCTCTTCCAGGGTGAGGGTCCAGCCAGCTTTGCATGCTAGTAGGGGTAGTGCTGTGTCTGCTCTCTACATGTCATAGCAGCTGAGTGGCTACAGCTTATTGGTGGAAGTTAAAGTTGTCCCCTCTTTCCCCCTCAGTGACAAAGAGACCTCTCCATGGGCTTCATCCACTGCCAGTATGGTAAAGGTTTTACACCCTCAGCCCTAACCCAGCAATCTTCTGTGGTTCCCACATGAGTGTTAACAAGTAAGGCAAAGTGAAATGATGAAGGCTTATGTTGAAACTTCACTAGTTTATCCAGGGTGTGAGCATCTTCTATTTGGCTACTGAAAGAATACTTCTGCAATTTTTTTTTGTGCTGTTCGCAATGTAAACAGCTACAAGCAAATACATTTTTAAGTTTAAATTGCATGAACATTTTCCTCCCACTCTTTGCTAAGTAAGTCTGTACAATCAACAAAACAAATCAAGCCCTGGTCTGCACACTTGCCCATTTCCTCAGTGTAAATGCTCCCATGATGACCAGTTTCCAGTGGAGAAGTGAGACACAGTAGCACGCCATCCACAGTACTCCTGTGTTATAGATAAAATCAGCCAAAACAACCTCAAGAGCACAGATAATGGCAAAGTGTAGCAAAATTATTCAGATCAGATGAATTTTGAATATTTATTATCTTTGTTTTAATGTAATTTACTTAATTGTAAAATTATCTAATTTTTAAAATAATGGCAATGTCTAACCATTGCAAAATTCCCTCAGTCTTAACAGCCCCAGGGACAACTAGCTTCCTCTTCACCTCTGAGAATGTAGCTGCCAGTATGCCGCGCAAGGCCACAACCTGTCTCGAGCCGGCACCACCATACTAGCGCCCAACTGTGGTCATGAGCAGACTTCCCATGCCTAGATGGTTCACGTCTTTTTTTTTCCCTTGAATTAAAAAAGGGAATTTGTCTATTGAGAGGAAGAGAATACAAGTAAAAGTTTGTATCTGACTTTGACTTTTTCCTCTTGTCAAATGGGGGAATTTTATTTGTATAATTTCTAAGAGTCTCAATCTGCTCATGAAATCCTCATATGGACAAAGCTTTGGGGCAGATTCCTTAAGTCACCACTGGGGAACACTTTTACCAGGGCAGGGGTAACTTCTGCCCTGGTAAAGTGGGCAGTGCGGCCCACTTCTCCCCTTCTGCCCCATGTGCACTACAAAATGGTCACTGCCTGTGATGGGGAGTCCAGCAGCTACTGAATGGGAGCTCCGGAAGCCCACTCTGCTGTCTCAGCACTGGTCCAGTTAAATTTATTATTTTGTCCATAGCCACAGTGTCTTTTTGACTTTCCAAAAATCCAGTGAACTTCTTTTCCATGAACACTCTCAGGTCTTCCCTTGCTAAGTAGTTTCATCTCCAGCAAGTTTCTGAAACATGAAAATCATGGTTCCCACTGCGTGTTCCATTTGAGATGGCATTTTGGGGAGGTCTGGACCAGAGGCATGACAGCATTGCTTGGCTGGCCAAGGTGCACAACCAGTGAGTCTGGTTTGCATCTTAATACTGTTTGGTCCACCTAACATCGTTTCTCTTTCTTGTTCCTGGAAAGATACACCTCTAACGCATTGAAGGGCTTAAATTCAATGACTGATCAGATGACCAGCTCTGTCCATTTGCACCAGTTCTTGCTATTACTTACAACTACACCAATAACAATGGTGATGATAATGATGATAACGATGGTAACTAATTTATCAAACACCCGCCAGATATGTGTTAAGCATAATCTTAAGATTAGACTTTTACATCAAAACAGCCTGGTACTGGCATAAAAACAGGCATATGGACGAGTGGAACAGAACAGAGAGCCCAAAAATGAACCCAAGTCTCTACAGTCAATTAATATTTGACAAAGGGGGCAGCAACATAAAATGGAGTAAAAATAGCCTCTTCAACAAATGGTGTTGGGAGAACTAGACAGCTACATACAAAAAATGAAACTCGAGTACCAACTTACACCATACACAAAAATAAATTCAAGGTGGATAAAAGATTTAAATATAAGCTGTAGCACCATTAAAGTCCTAGAGGAGAACATAGGCAGGAAAATCTCAGATATTTCACGCAGCAACATTTTTAGTGACATGTCCCCTAGAGCAAGGGACATAAAGGAAAGAATAAACAAATAGGATCTCATCAAAATAAAAAGCTTCTGCACGGCTAAAGAAAACAGTATTAAAATAAAAAGAGAACCAACCATATGGGAAAACATATTTGCCAATGATAACTCAGACAAGGGCTTAATCTCCAAAATATATAAAGAATTTACATGACTCCACTCTAAGAAGACAAGCAACCCAACTAAAAAATGGGCAAAGGACTTGAACAGACACTTCTCCAAGGAGGACATACAGAGGATCCAGAGACACATGAAAAGATCCTCAGTATCGCTAGCTATCAGAGAGATGCAAATTAAAATCACAATAAGATATCACTTCACACCAGTCAGAATGGCCATCATAAACAAAGCAATAAACAACAAGTGTTGGAGAGGTTGTGGAGAAAAGGGAACCCTAGTGCACTGTTGGTGGGATTGCAGACTGGTACAACCACTATGGAAAACAGTATGGAATTTTCTCAGAAAACTAAAAATGGATCTGCCTTTTGACCTAGCAATTCCACTGCTGGGATTATATCCTAAGAGCCCTGAAACACCAATCCAAAAGAACCTATGCACCCCAGTGTTCAGAGCAGCACAATTTACAATAGCCAAGTGTTGGAAGCAACCTGGGTGCTCATCGGTAAATGAATGGATCAAAAAAACTAAGGTATGTTTACACAATGGAATACTACACAGCAGAAAGAAAGAAGGAGCTCCTACCCTTTGTGACAGCATGGATGGAATTGGAGAGCATTATGCTAAGAGAAATAAGCCAGGCAGTGAAAGACAAATACCATATGATCTCACCTTTAACAGGAACATAAACAACAAAACAAACAAACAAGCAAAATATAACCAAAGACATTGAAACAGAGAACAGGCTGACAGTAACGAGAGGGGAAAGGGGAAGGAATTTCAGGGAAAAAGGGGAAGAGTTTACAGTAACAAGTATAAAGGACACATGGACACAAACTAGGGTGAATGGTGGAAATGGGAGGGAGGTGGGAGAACTGGGGGGTGGGGATGGGGGTAAAAGACAGAAAACTGTACTGAAACAACAATTAAAAGAAAAAATAAAAGGAAAAAAGGATTAGGCTTTTACACATTTACAAATCATTTAATGTTATACAGCCCTGTGAGGTATTCATATCCTTGTGTTACATGTGAGAAAACCAAAGCACAGAGAAGTTAAACAAGCTACCCTGAGCCACACAGTAGGTGGTGAGCCAGGGTTTAAACCCAGGCAGTCAGATCTCTGTGTCTGTGCTCTAACCACTAGGCAATACTGTATCCCTAGTAGAAAATACTTTGGAAACTGCAATAAATATTTGATATTATTACTATCATTCTTAGTAAGGACTACTGGAGTCTTCCAGAGGAGTTTTCTAGAATCCTGTTATAATTTTATAATGTATAAAATACCTTAAATAGAGAGTAAATATTCATAGTCAGGAAAGAAGAACTGAGCTTCTTGTACTGTCCAGACCCCTTGCTCCCTACTCTGGGTCCCTTGCCTGGGAGACCTGCTTCTTCCCTTCTGTTGGAATGCAGAGAATTATTTTAAAAGTCACAGCATGCTGTCCAATAGAGCCAGGCTGAACACTGGCTTCACTGCTGCTGGAATACACCAAAACACAACATGTTGTCTCCTGTTCATTCTCTGGTGGCCTCTGTCCTCATTCTTCCTTTTACATGAGGTGGTGGATGAAGCTCCTGTCCTGTCACCTC